ATTAAGAAATACATTAGAAATGTAGAAACTAGCAACACATGATGCATTAGGAAAATACACTCAAGAAAAATAAACTAGTTGCAAACATAAACATAACAACTTTTATAGATTCATTCCCCAGTAAGATGATTAGTTCTCTAGTCAATATCCTCAAAGAAGTCACCAACTTCTAAATGAGTAACATTTGTTAGGCCTTCAAAATCATCATCTTTATATGCAAGATGTGCCTTAAAATCATATTTATTTGTGGGACCTGCTTCATCATCATTATTTTGAAAGGTCAAGTGTGCCTCCACATTATTTTCTTTTTTCTTGANCATTAGTGCATAGCTAGTTTGATGACTTTGAGGTCCTCTAAGAGTTGAGCACGGAAGGAAATAGTTATTTTATCACTGCAATGTACTTAAACTATTTAAGATGCTCAAGCGCACAAGTAATCTGCAAACAATGAGCATATGATATATATTGTCATAAATAAAATGATTATAATGANTGAATGATTAATTTGAGAACCCTTATTGTTCTCCAATTTATTTTCACCATAATGACGATAATTGGTTCGCCCCCTGCCACGTCCACATTTACGACCATGTCCACGACCATGGTAATTATTTTGTTTTCTTCCAAACTTATCATATGTTGCTACAACATTCACTTCCGGAAATGTNATAAAATAAAAGCAATGCAGTAAAATGTAAACAAGAAGAGATAGAGAGAATGGAGAAGTGTTTCTTTTTTCACTTTGGTGTATTTTCCTATCTATTACAAGACCTTTATATAGGCATGAAAAATAAAGAAAATATGTCATGGAATATGTCATTGAACATAGAAAATATGTCATTGAANTTTTTTCCAATAAGTCCTCATCTGTGATAGTGTCTCCACATAATTTTAATAGAGAACTTACTTTAAAGATAGGAGAATTATACTCACTTACGGTTTTAAAGTCTTGCAACCTTAAATGTATCCAATTNTTTGAGAGAAAGATTATGGAGGAAGAGTAGACATCCACCATATTTTGATTTTTATCATAACAATTTAGACATTTTTTCGATGGGGATACAAATTATGGAAGGGTTGGATTTAAATAGTACTACTACTCGTAACCGTTTGCTTTGTTTAGCTCATATCTGTTACTATAATATTGATCGTTACGTGATTGATTTGTAACGATTGAGATAATGATAACAAATCGCGTATAATCAGGGATTGACTGATCCTTTCCTTACTTATAGTCATTTATAATGACTTTAAGTATCAATCCGTAACTATTTTCATATGTTTAGCACCGAGACTAGTAGGCACAATGTACTCAGGGTGTTGCTTCTACTTTCTGTACATGTCCCACTTTCTTGTCACATTAACTCCCTTGACACTTGTCATTATGACATTGATCCACGCGGCGAGTAAATTTTTCACTAATTCATGTATATTCTCAATTAGAAGCTTGTAATAAATATTAGAAAGTTGATCATCAACCATTCTTTACCGTATGAAAGTTACATTCCATAAACAAATGAAAGTGAAATTTCTCCGAATGACTAAAAAAAAAGTTGACTGTGCGAAGACCTCACTCTTTTTAGATGGTAACTCCAGCAATTTATCAACCGAAAGAGGAAGAAGAAGAGAAGAAGAAGAAGAAGAATAGCTGTAGAGAGATGTCTATGGACACAAACATGGAATCATCTATGGAGCTTCTGATATTTCAGGTTGGACCCAAAGCTTGATCTGAGATCCCAATATTCCTAACTCGACGAGTGTAGATAACGACCACCAGCAGCAGATTTCAACGGCTGCTGGCAGCCGTACTGATTTGATTGTATCAGATGCATCGATTTCAGGGCATTTTCTAGGATTAATGGTGTTTGCAATAACTGCAATGAAGACAAGGACGAGGTAGAGGAGAAAGCGTCAGAGATCAATAACAAACTGAAATCTTGCGCTGGTTCTGATCTTTGTTTAGGTTAAACATTGAAAGGGTCATGAACAATGAAACCAACATCAATATTTTCAATAACAATAATGTTGTGGAGAATTCCAGAGTGAATGACTATTTTAAGTCTACTATTTTAGATGGTGTTGAATTTTCAAGTGGCATTTGGGGTGATATCATTTCTATGGAGACATCTAACTCCCCAGTATATAGTTCTGGATTTCAAGATTTTTATTTTCATAATGTCGAATTTCCAAGTGACATTTGGGGGATCCCCCGTTGAATTATTGAAGTACTTTAGGATTTAAGTTATATGTGCCGACGAACTTTTTACAATATTAGTATAATTTAACATGTTATAATAAGTTTCCCTGCGTCAAAAATATACATCGCATAAAATGTTTTATTTTATGCATATAAACTATACATTTAATCCCCTTAGCTTCGTAGTATATTTACTTCTTTATACTTTGACTCTCCTTAGTGAAAATTCTCGTTCCGCCATGGTTAATGATACTAATTCTCACGCTTTATGAGCAGTTTATGTAATTATCTTTTAGTTGACCTAATATTGTAAAAATTCGATACTCTATACTCAATTATAATTTGTATAAAACTTGTTCTTGAACCAAACCATTCCTTCAATATACAAATCAAGATTAATTTACATTATTTTATCACTATATGACAATCAAATTAACATAAAATGTTTTGCTCCTGTTTTGAAGATGCTAGGTTACCCTGCTTCGGTGAGTCCTGAATCAACGGTCTTCCTCTATTACATAGGAGTAATACTTTTACTAACATTCCTATTTTTCAGATGTAGCCATTGACATTGTCACAAAGTGTCTCTATTGTATTAAAATACATTTTACAAAATGTTGTTATTGTGCTTTTGTTTTTGAAATTGAGGACACAAATTCATCGTTTCTTCCACTCTCAAATTTCATTAAATAGTTGAGTCTGGATTTATTTCAATTTGAATCTGGTTGGCAAATCCTGAAGCCAAAACAAAATCATCCATTTGGTTATATAGTTATAAATCTCACATTCTTGATTTCGAGTCTCACTATCCGCAAAATATTTCTACGTTCTTGACCAAAAAAATAACAACATGACATCAAAATAGATCTCAAATTTTGTCTTCTATCAAAGTAGTGATCAGATGGCAGATCGTTACCTCGCCATTTTCTTCGTATCTCTTTCTTGTCTTTATCGATCATTTGATGCGAGTGCTGGAGATGTTGATCCATTATACAGGTAACATATCTTACAATTTTACTTTGCATTTTGCTTCACGACTGTCCTTTCTAAAACCATTTATTATCTGAATAATCAGGGCATGTATTTCGCAATGTGAAAAAACTGGATGTGTTGGTGAAACATGCTTCACACATTGTGAATACTCTGTAGATGGTTCTTCCTCTGATAATCAGAAAGAGCCACTATACCGGCAATTGACACAAAGGGATTGCCCAAATGACTGCAAGTACCACTGCATGCTTCAAAGAGAAAAAGAACGAGCTGCACTCGGATTTGGTCCTGTGAAATATCATGGTAAATGGCCATTTAAACGAGTGTTCGGACTTCAGGTTTGTAATATTATGAGCCTTGGACCTATATATGTTTATGAGCTGTTAAAGTATTTACACAATCATGTCACTTATAAGATAGTTATGAATAAATCTCTACATTTGGTTAACCTGCATTGATCGTGGAAAAAGTTTTTACGCTCTCAGTGCATATTACTTAAAATCCCTTAGTAATATATGACTATTAATAAGAAGTGATATCTTAACTTTCCAGGAGCCTGTTTCTGTTGCTTTCTCTGCACTTAACCTTGCAATGCATATCCAAGGATGGCTGTCCTTTTTCAAGCTACGATCAAAGACGACAAATAAAAGGATATCCTATGATTATGCTGGTCTGTGGAACATATACGCCCTCTTGTCTGTGAATTCATGGTTCTGGAGTGTTGTCTCCCACAGTCGGTGAGTAATTTTCACCTCGTGAACTAACTTTCATAGTTGAGTTAGACATAATGTCCTTAATTTTCTTAACATTGTATCAGAGTCAGATTCATCCCTATTCTTATTTACCAAATGTCAGTCTCATGTTATGTTATCCATGCTCCAGTTAACCTAGCCTGTGCATGCGAGGAGGCGGGGATACATTAGATTGTCCCACATTGGTTGATACAATGGGCCGCATATCACCTCATGAGCTAGCTTTTGAGATAGAATAAAGCCTAAGATACACCTTTTAGTTGTCATACTTACCCGTGCCTATTATACTTTGGTTTCCTTATTTTCCATATAAGTGTTTAGGCTTTTCGTTTGACCATATATAATCAGAGGCGGATCTAGGATTTTAGTTCTATGGATTCAGCATTTAAAGTTATGGGCTTATATCTACTGTTTATTGTAATTTTAGTGATTTTTTACTCATAAATTTATGTTCCACGTCGAAAGTACTTGGTTCAGTTGAACCCGGTAGTTCTATGTTGCATCCGCCCTGTGTATAATAGGATATTAATGCAGCATGTGGTGAGAAGTTTTATTCATTTTTTAGCAAAGTCAATATGGTTATGGAATTGTATTAACTTGTTATCAGTACTTCTATTGCAGAGATGTGGAATTGACAGAAAAACTAGATTACTCATCTGCAGTGGCATTACTTGGATTTTCGCTTATAATATCGATACTAAGATGTTTCAGTATAAAGGATGAGGCTACGAGAGTATTGATGTCTGCTCCACTGCTTGCCTTTACAACCACCCATATTTTGTACCTGAACAACTATCAAATGGACTATGGTAATTTCCTCATCTCACGGTTTTTGTTTAGGGTACAAAGTCCTGCATTGAAAGAAGGTGAGCTTAGATGTAACTAGTAAAGTTGATGCCATGTGATCAGAAGGTCACGGGTTCGAGCCGAGGAAATAGCAATTTGTGCATGCAGAAATATAGAGTAAGGTTGCGTACAACCCTTGGGGTCCGGCCCTTCTCCGGACCCTACACATAGCGGGAGCTTAATGTATCGGGCTGCCTTTTTTTTATAGTCATGCATTGGAAATAGGATGTAGGCTACATATTCTTATAAAACCTAGCACAACAACATAAGAAGATATCAAGATAAAAGGGAAAGAATACAGAAATAATTATTGGGGTGTTGCTTTTTGTGTCTATAGACCATACTCTGCACCACCAAGAGTACTTCTTGTGGAATGGTTGAGACTCTTTCACCTTTAATCAGAAATCTTGGATTTGAGTTGTAGGAGTGAAAAATCTAAGTAGAAAACGCTTTATTCCTTTTAGTAGGCCAACCCAAATTGAATCTGAATTAGTTGAATCCATGCTCCAGATGTCGGGTGCCTAGAGGTGGCAAATGAGCAGATTAATAGGTCAAAGTTGGATGGATCTAAATAAATAAATGGATCATGATCCAACATATCCAAAGTGTGCTTGAGTCAAAATAGATTAGGTTAAGATGGATAAAATAAGAGGTCATAACTCAACCCGTCCAACATGACTCATTCTCTCCGTTCTCTCCCTCTCTCTCTTTTGGCTTTTTCACAAAGAAAACTATTGTATTTTTTCTCGAATTATCTTAAATTCTTCCAAAGTTACATAATTCTCAGTCTTCAAATTTGATTATGTTTGGGTCTCGATTGTGTTTTGACCTATCCAGTTACACTATGTTGGATCATTTCGCGTTCAACTTGTTGGATCAAGTTAACAAATCGGGTCATAGCTCAATTCGTTTAAACTAGCACAGTTTGTCTGGTTGCTAAAAAATGGATTTATTTGCCACTTCTAGTTGCTTTGTTCTATCACTATCACTCTTTCCATTTGTTATTCTATAACTACTTACTTGGAATTTTTTTCCAGGATGGAACATAAAAGTTTGTGTTACAATGGGTGTTGCTCAGCTTCTGATTTGGGCAATATGGGCTGGAATTAGTCATCATCCATCCAAATGGAAAATATGGACAGTGGTTTTAGGGGGTGGATTTGGTATGCTTTTAGAAATTTATGACTTTCCTCCATATGCAGGAATAATAGATGCACATTCTCTTTGGCATGCTACAACAGTTCCTCTGGCTTATATTTGGTGGAGTTTTATCCAAGATGATGCAAAGTACCAAACAATTAACCCTAGTAAGAAAGTAGAGTAATTTTTTTTTACAGGGTTGTGCCCATCTTCAGACCCTACGTGAACGCGGGATACCATACCGGGCTGCCCTTTTATATCTGATGTTTAGCTTAAAGTATATATATTTTTATGTATATCGCCTCATATCTTACTCTTGTTTCGTGAATTTGGGATGTTAAATGTTATGAATTATATTGATTTGAAGTGTTTTTACTTGTAGGAATGATTCGGGAGCAATTTGGGGCAAAACGTGAAAGATTTGAAGCTAAAACGAACAAAATCGGGAAAGGAAGCAGTTGGGCGCCACAGGCAGTGCCTGGCGCCACCTGTGACGCTGAAAACAGTAGGCTCAAAAATTGGGGCGCTATGGAGGGCGCCTGGCGCCGGGCTGGGCATCGGTGACGCGAATCGTGTCCTATTTTGCCCGGGACAAGTTTATTTCGGCCCTAGACCTACCCAACTGATATAAAAGCAAGACTAAACCTATTTTTGAGAGGAGAGACGCCACTTTGAAGTAGAGATACACACGGGATCGTGAGGAAGCGAAGAATTCTCAGTTTTCTTCCTCTTTTTCTAGTATTTCCAATTGATTCAACACTTATGCAATTGTTTGATTACATCATGAGTGGCTAAACACCCATTGTTCTGGGGTTGTGATTTAGCCATGAATATTGTTGTTTGATATTAGCTTGACCTTGATTATAATTCACCAATATATGGTTGTTTCTTCAATTCTGTGTTTAATTGCTTAATTGTCTGGCCAGCAGTTAGGTTCTATTTACTATCTATGCTATGCTTGGGAAAGCCGTGTTTAGATTAGAGAAGAATTGAAGAGAGCATGATCTTAACCCTTAGGGGGAGCGGATTTGTGGTTAGGATAGGAATATACCTAGTCACCGTGCTTAATTAAATATCGTGATCTTAATGCGTTCTTAATAGATTGATTTCATAGGAATATAGGCGTTAATCTATTGAGAATAGGTGAGTAGTACTTCGGGAGAAGGCTATGAGAGCATTTATCGATTAATTAGCAACCATGAGTGAATTATATGAAAGGGAGAGTTAATTAGAACACAATACGATTGGTGAATCGATCACAACTCTGGAATATTTGTCTCTACTGAATACACAACAATCAACTCGTTACTTGATAACTTAGTTATTATTTAGAATTGTAGTATAATATAATCATATTATTGGACTTTGATTTTAGCTGGATTGAATAACAATTTTAGTGATTTAGTGAGTAGTTTACACAAGTCTCTGTGGGTTCGACACTCAACTTATCATTATATTACTTGTCGACCACGTACACTTGCGTGTGCGTTTGAGAGTAACAAGTTTTTGGCGCCGTTGTCGGGGACTTGAATATTAAGTACTTGCTAGTTTTTGCTTTAATTGTTTATTTAGTCTAGTCTAATGTTACTTGATTGTTGCTCAGATCTCAGGAACTTTGATTGAATGCGTAAGGTCAGAAGCCAGGACCGACTTCAAGGCTTTGATCCTGAACCTGAGAGAACATTTCACAGGAGGTTGAGGGAAGCAAGGGATACGAATAATATTCAGGCACTTGTTCAATTTCCTGTGGACATAGCAGAGGAACAACCTTTGGCTGTTCAGGAGGTGGCGATGCCCAGCATTGCTAATGTCACCTCCAGTATAGTGAAGCCCCGGATCACTGGGCACTTTGAGCTGAAACAGGGCATGATCCAGTTACTTCATGCAAACGGGCAATTTATGGGTCTTCCACACGAGGATCCACAGCAGCATATTCTGAACTTCATGGAGATTAGTGATACTTATATCACTAACGGTGTCACTCCAGATTACTGAGGCTCACACTTTTTCCATTCTCTCTGTTGGGCGAGGCTAAGCGATGGCTAAAGGCAGAACCAGCTAACTCCATCACATCATGGAATGATTTGGCAAGAAAATTTCTGGCAAGGTTCTTTCCTTCAGGCAAAACTGCAAAGATAAGAAGTGAGATAGTGGCCTTCAAACAGAAAGCGGGAGAATCTTTATACTCAGCTTGGGAAAGGTTCAAGGGGCTACTCAGAGACTGTCCTCATCACAATCAGACGAATGAAGTGTTAGCTCACACTTTCATAGAAGGGCTATATGCTAAAACAAAGATCGTGGTAGATGCTGCATCTGGGGGTCAAGTGTTGGAGAAAAGCTTTGACGAGATATATGCATTATTAAACAAATTCTCCCAGAGCAATCTATGCCCAACAAATCCAGAGTCTGTATATTTTGTGGGTAATGCAAATCGAGGCCAAACAAAAGTATGGGGACACTTACAATCCTAACTAGAGGAACCACCCAAACTTCTCTTGGGGTGGAAACCAGGGCACTCAGAATCAATACAGGCCTCAAGCATCTCAACAATAATATAGACCACCTCAGGTTGAACAACAAGCGAGTCCTACAAGTCACCTTGAAGATATGTTGAAAAAAGTGATGGCTAAACAGCAAGCCCTCGCCACAACAGTGAGAAATTTGGAGCGTCAAATGGGACAGCTTGCTAGTGCTCAAATTACTAGACCAGCTGGAGCTCTTCCAAGTGATACTGAGCCCAATCCTAAAGCTCAAGTCAATGCGGTTACCTTGAGAAATGGAAGAGCACTAGAAGAAGTTCCAAAGAAAAAGAAGAATACAGATCATCCTGAAGGAGAATTAGCTCCCAAGCCAGTTGAGGGTAATGAGAAAGATGATAAAGGACCCAAGCCAGTAATTGAGACTAGGCCACCGCCTCCGTTTCCACAAAGACTGCAGAAGCAAAAAGATGATGCCAAGTACAAGAAATTCCTAGATATTTTGAGCCAAGTGATCGTGAATCTGCCTTTCGTGGAAATTTTGTATGAAGTGCCTAAGTATGCAAGGTATCTCAGAGATATTGTGGCAAATAAACGAAGACATGCAGAGTTTGAAACAGTTGCACTTACTGAAGAGTGTAGTGCTAGAGTTCAGAGTAAACTTCCTCCTAAGTTGAAGGATCCTGGGAGTTTCACAATTCCTTTGTCTCTTGGAAAATAAGAGGTTGGTAGAGCCTTGTGTGATTTAGGGGCCAGTATAAATTTGATGCCATCCTCTTTGTTCAAGCTACTCGGATTGGGGACGCTTAGACCTACTACAATCACTTTACAGCTAGCAGATAGGTCACTAGTCATGCCCGAAGGAATTATTGAGGATGTGTTAGTTCGAGTGGGAAAGTTTATTCTTCCTGCTGATTTTATTGTTCTTGATTACGAGGCATATGAGGAAGTGTCCATTATTTTGGGGCGACCATTCTTAGCTACTGGTGGAGCAATTATTGATGTGAGAGCAGGGAAGTTAAAAATGAGAGTTGACGATGAGGAGGTCACTTTTAACGTGTACAAGGCACTTAAGCTTTCTAAGCAATTTGAGGACTTGTGCATGATTACTGTGGTAGAATCGAAGGGGATAAAGCAGAGTCCTTATGTGAATTATACTGATCCAGATGGGACAACTGAGTTAAAGGAGGTCTGTCACACCTCCTTTTTTCACCCCCGCGAGGGTGCAAGGGAGTTTTCTCCAATTGAAGAACAGTTGAAACGGGATTTATTTAATTATTTAAGAGTCGCCACCTGGGAATTTTAAGGCGTCCCAAGTCACCAATTTTAATCCCTGAATCGAGGAGAATATGACTCTGTTTATTATTCTGCGAACCAGAAATCCTGAGTAAGGAATTCTGTTAATCCGGAAGAAGGTGTTAGGCATTTTCGAATTCCGTGGTTCTAGCACGGTCGCTTAACTGTTTTATTATTGGCTTAATTATCTTGATTTTTATTTTTTTTTTAAAAAAACTTCTTATTACGTGACTTTTTCTACCGTTTTTACTTATTGTGGTTAAGAACCCTTCTTTGAATCGAATTACGCGTACGT